CTGAAGAGCTGAGGGACAGTGCCCAGGCCCAGATTCAAGCCCCTCTATTGACAAAGAAAAAAATTTTTTAAATGAAAAAAACATAGTAGCTCATCAAAAAAAAACTATACAATCTAGACGGTATTAAGGTACTACTAAATCACAAAAATGTATAAAAAAACCATCATCAGATTATCAGAACACTCTGGTAATCTCCTGAGAGTTTTTAAGAAGTCAATAAGAACAAAGATATATGATAAGTTAAATTTGCCTTTCTAGATTAAATGATTATCTCCAAAACAAGTGTCTAATGCCTTTACCACTTGAGCCAGGTACCCACCCTTTGTGCTCAGGATCACCTACACTATGCTCTTATTTATGCCTCTTGGTTAGATGGTATGAGAAGAACATGCCAATATGCCAGGCTTTATTGACAGAGATGGGAGGATCTCACTAAATAACATTTTGCCTAGGCTAGCCTAATCTCCTTGATTGCTACCCTTCTTATCTCTACCTCTGGAGTGGATAAGTGAGCCACTGAGCCAACCCAAGTGTATTAGTATTACCAAACCGCTAGTAAAAGAAATCACAGCTAGGCACTCATGGCTCAAGTCTATAATCCCTTAGCTACTCAGAAGGCTGAGATCTAAGAATCAGGGTTTGAAGTCAGCCAGAGTAGGACAGTCTATGATAGTCTTACCTCCAATTAACCAGCAGAAAAGCCAGTAGTGACCTGTGGCTCAATGACAGAAGGTTGAGCAAAAAAGTATTGAACAAAAAAGCCAAGTGAGGGCACAAGGCCTTGAATTCAAGACCCAGTACCAGCATGTGTGTGTGCACACACATGTACATCTGCACACATGCGCGCATGTGCGCGCACGCACACACACAAATACAAAAAGATATACATACGATGAGTAAAAGAAATAAAAGCCTAAGATTCAATGTCACTATTGTCTTACAATAAGGTAATTATTCTAAGAAATTTGTGGTGTTTTTATTTTAATAAAGACAAGGAATGGTTTGAAGTGATTACTAGTCACCAAATACACTATTAGAAAGTTAGCTTATGGGGCTGGGAAGGTGGCTCAATGGTAGAGCGCTTGCCTTGCATGCCCCAGGCCCTGGGTTCGATTCCTCAGCACCACATAAGCAAAAAGAAAAAAGCCAGAAGTGGCACTGTGGCTCAAGTGGTAGAGTGCTAGCCTTGAGCTGAAGAGCTTAGGGGCAGCACCCAGGCCCAGAGTTCGGCCCCCCCGCCAAAAAAAAAAGAAAGCTATGGGGCTGGTAAGGTGGCTCAGTGGTAGAGCACTTGCCTCACACACATGAGGCTCTGGGTTCAATTCCTCAGCAGAAAAAGCCAGAAGTGGTGCTGTGGCTCAAGTGGTAGAGTGGCCGCTTTGAGCTGAAGAGCTCAGGAACAGCTCCCAAGCCCAGAGTTCAGGCCCCACAGCCAACCAAAAAATAAATAAATAAAAGAAGTTAGCTTATGTAGTTTCTCTTTCTCTTTGCTGTGCTGGGACTGAGCTTATACATTTGGCAAGTGTTATGTCACTGGGCTACCTTTCTTCTTTCTAAGACAAAATCTTAGAGGCTACCGACAATGATAACAAGTATTGGCATACTACAAAATTTCTCCTGGAATGTAGGAGAGGTTCAGTTGGGTAGATACCTGAAATTCAAAAACTAAATTGTTTTCTTTAAAAATAAGCTGTCATGCTGGGTGCTGGTGGCTCATGCCTGTAATCCTAGCT